TTTAAAAATTATCAATATTTATTGTATTAATTAATGTTATGTTTAGTCATCAAATCTTAAAATTTCAAGTTTGAATATTAAATTTTTTTTTTAAAAAAGTAATTTTTATTATTAAATAATTTAAAAATAAAATAATCTAAAAAAATTATATACACAAAAAAAAATAACTTTTATATATAGGTATATACAATAATTTGATAATTAGTGTGAGATCTAAATAAAGTAATCGAATATATATTATGTTACTTAACTTTTTTATATCTGTCAAAATTTTAGTCATGCATGATTCATTCAATCCATTAATTATATATAACTATAACACAATTGAAACGTGTTCTGAACATTAAACAAATATAGAGGCGTAGAAAAACGAGTGGATAGGTTTAAATAATTCCAATATTTTGACAACACAGCTGTCTTAAGTATTAACTTATTAACTAATTAAAAGAATAAAACATTTAATATATTTTTCATTTTCAAAATATTCAATGTTTACTACCATATGATACTAGTAAATGGCAAGAATCAAATCCTAATTAACTAGTCTTAACTACTCCCTGATGTCACATATCCTATCAGAGCAATCCAACATTGAGGACTACACCTCATCACCAACATTCTCAACATCATGCTAATGACCACCTGTGACAACCACAAGGAAACAACAAAATAAAAGAGAATGAGAAACATTTCACTCTAACTCACAGTGCAGAAATGCAAGTTGGCTAGCCAAACACATACAATAATAGATAACATACATAATTACACATTATCTTCATAGTTAGTTCATTCATAACATAAACAATAACAAATATAATTATAATACATATGCAATAGATATAGACTATATGCTATCATGCATGTGGCATTAATAAAAATATCATACTTGTGCATTGTCGCTAACAATACACTACAGTAGTTTAGGAGTATATTTCGGATCACACCCTCTATACACTCTCACTAGAAGAACATATTACTAGGGTCTGATTGGGATAACTAAGCCACACAAGACATCCCATGCTCACAAGGACAAGACTAGGACTTTCAAACTAAGTTATCCCCAAGGTTGTTTCCTAAGTTTTTACACAAAGGACCTTCGTTGACGGTGTATTCCATATTTTATCCTTTCAAAAATATTTTATGCATATGATGCATGACAAATAGACTCTATGCAATACGTTCACATCCTCATCCTCATTACAATACAAGAATTATATCATTGAATTTAACAAAAGTTCAATAAGGGATTTGTAGGCAGGATGACGCCTAGTGACCCACGCCCCACGCTTGGTGCGAGTCCTTTAGAAGACCACACTAATCTCTATCCATATCGTGCCCCTTCAAAAATATTTTATGCATATGTTGCATGACAAATAGACTTCATTCAATACATTCACATCCTCATCCTCATTACAATACAAGAATTATATCATTGAATTTAACAAAAGTTCAACAAGGGATTTGTAGGCAGGACGACACCTAGTGACACATGCCCCACGCCTGGTACGAGTCCTTTAGAGGACCACACTGGTCTCTGTCTAAATCACGCCCAACATGATCGAGTTCATGCCTAGCGAGAACACCACTAAGATCTCTCTAAAGTGTCCACATCCAGCATGAGCCGGTTCACGCTCGACAAAAGCATCACAAGAAACCCTTGGAGTTTCCGCTTTCGCACCCGATGAGGTTCATCCCACGCCCAACGTGAGAGACCTCAAGAAAAAACTTTACTCTCAACCTCGACAATGCCCAACGTGCCCCAAGTGGCACCCGACAATGTATCAGAAACAACATGCACATCAGAAAATGTAGAAATTAAGAGACACACACCAGTTCACCAAAATGCACAATTTAATCCGTAAAAGCTTTCCAAACCACGTGATAAACATTCTAAACAACATAATTTATGCTTACAGTTACATACTTAGACAATCTCTTCATACAACTCGCAATGCATTCCTTCAGGGTTCTCATAATAACCCACAAGAACATCAAAACATACAATTTATAATCCAATTTTGAAAATTACTAACACATACATACAATTCACATTGATTAGAACATACAAGGAGAACAAGAAGTAAAATAGATACAATTGGAAAAAATCCTTATACATAAGCATACAACAAACACAATATTAGGATTCAACCGTATTACTCGACATACAAACCCACACCCAGAGCGAGGTTCCTCACCCCCGCCTTACTTGGATAAACTTTAGACGACGGGTGCATGACTTTAAGTGATCTCCTTCATGCTTTTACTTCTCCTCGAATTCTGAAGTGCGTACATGAAATAGAAGTGTAAAAAGAATTTGGTTAGAAAATTTCTCTTAAAAAAAACCTAACCTCCCTTTAACAGTTAAAACTTACTAACCAAAATTATCGTAAATATCTCTTCCTTTTTTAACAAAATATTATACTATTTTTGTGAGGTCTTGACTTAAGGGGGAGAGGAACTTCCAGAATCAAAACATTTCTCTCTTTCTTTTCTCAGGTTTTTAAGGGAAGATCTTTGAGACTTGGAATTGAATCTGCAATGTAGTTGTGAAACTTGAGTTGCTGGAGCTCGGAGCCCTTTCCTTTTCCTTATTTTCTTCCACCTCGGAGTAACATGAAGTTCTCCATTCTCTTCTTCTTCTTCCTTGAAGAGCTTGAAATCAAGGTGAGGGAAGCTAGACTTGTTTTATATGGAATTGGTGCAAGAAAATGTAGTTTGATTCATAAAAGTTGTATCCTTGAAAGTTAGCTTTCCAATGGCGTTAGAGTCACCTAAAAAGGAGGTTTAGAACTTCAGTTATGACCTTTTTAGTGAGCAAAGGTCAAGTTGTTAGCATTTATGTAATTGTTGCAGTTTTTACAATTTTTAACATGGTAGATGATGGAATTAGGACCCGAGTTTTTCATGAAAGTTGTAGAAAATCTTCTTGTCTTTCATATAAGATAAGGATGAGTATGACATGAGTAGTAGAACTTCCTATGTACTATTTTATATGAAGGTTGTCATTTCACAATAAGTGATTTGGTTAAGTTGAAAATTATTTTAGTTGCTTAAGTTGATTTATGATGTTATTTTCTTAAGATGTGAGTGCGTTAAAGATATATGTTATTTATGTTGTGTAAGTTGACATAATGTGAAGTTGTGTAGCTATGGTAGGATTCTATATGAATAATGTTGATATGTTGTTGAGAGGCATGTTGATCATAGTGTAAATGAATTGTGATGATAATTATATGAGTTGAAAAGTTTTGTGTTGATTGAGTTGTTGTGTTGAAGATTATAATGAGTTGTTGTGTTGTTGATCTGTGTTGTTGAGTTGTGTTGATCACTTAGGACTAGAAAAGATATTTTTGAAAGTTATATATCCTATTGTGTGGATATTGTGTTGTGGTGCTCCAAGAGCTCAATTTTTTGAAAAACCTTTCTTGGGAAGTTGACCCTTGAAGTGGATATTGTGTTGTTTCTCCTCTAGGACTTTGTTGGTACCGTGTGTGGGCAAAGCCGAGGGACACATATATGAAGTGATCACAATATAAGAATTAGGTCAAGCTATACTAATTACAAGTGATTAACCGAGTAAAGTACGAAGTCGGAAACTTAGTTCCTAATCGAGTATCGGAAGATTGTAGTATTTGAAAAATAGTCAGTGGGCTAATCCCATAGGAGGCTTGGTTAAGCTAACTAATGTCGTAATAGGCTGGTACACAGTTGTTCTATCCTGACATTAGTACTATACTTCCTTGTTTAAGTGGTAACATCTGAGAAACTGAATTGTTGTATTGTGGATTTATATCCAATTTACTGTTGATCTAGTAAGCCCAAAAAGATCACCTTATGTTGTCGGTTCGATAGGATCAAACCACTTAAACCGCTCACCCTGTGTTATAAGAGATCTCCTAGTTGAAATGTGTGATGATGCATATTGTTGTTGTGTTGAGCATATGATGTGTTGAGATGATTGTGTTGTTAATATGTTGTGTTAAACTGTGATGAAATGTATTATTGTGTTGATTCAAAGTTGTCTTATGTTGATATGTGTTGTATGTTGTGATACTATTGTTGTTGTGTTGTCGAAGATGAGATAATGATGTGATGTTCCAATATTATTGTATATATATATATGTGTGTGTGTGTGTTGTGTTGTTTCTTTTTCCTAGCTTACCCTTACATATTTTCATGTGATTTGGACTACAATAATCATACATGATATGAGAGCAGGACAGAGATATGACTGGAATGTTTCTGTGGAGGACACACACACACACACACACAAAATATATATTTACATATATATGTCACACACACACACAAAATATATATTTACATATGTCACACACACACACACACAAAATATATATTTACATATATATGTCACACACACACACAAAATATATATTTACATATGTCACACATATGTCACACACACACATACACACACACTTGTATTCATTCGAGTATTTTTAAGTTAATAGTTATGTCGTGCGATGTTGTATTCATTCTAGTATATGATTTTAAGTTATATATATATTTACATATGTAGGATGTATTCATTCGAGTATTTTTAAGTTAATAGTTATGTCGTGCGATGTTGTATTCATTCTAGTATATGATTTTAAGTTATATATATATTTACATATGTAGGATTATTGTTGTATTCATTCTAGTATTTTTAAGTTAATAGTTATGCCGTGCGATGTTGTATTCATTTTAGTATATGATTTTAAGTTATATATATATTTACATATGTAGGATTATAGGATTATTGTTGTATTCATTCTAGTATATGATTTTAAGTTAATAGTTATGTCGTGCGATGTTGTATTCATTCTAGTATATGATTTTAAGTTAATAGTTATGCCGTTTAGTGTAGGGATCATGATAGATCGTTACAATTTTTAATAAAAATCATGTAATATATTCTAAAATATATTACATAATTAAAACAAATATTTAATGATCCCTATTAATAAAATAAAATATCAGTTATTAATAAAATACTTATACCATATTTTATATAAAAAAAATGGGGTTTTACAATTTTCCAATAAAGTAATGACAAATATTACAAGAATAAGAAATCACAGAAAAAAAAATTAATTGGAACTAATTAAAAATAAAAGTTATTATATTTACAAAAACGTAAAATATACAGATGTTGTAATATTAACCGTACAAATTAATGTCTGCGTAATTCTTATTCTTGTAAATTTCGAGAAAAATTTTTTTACAACACATTTCAACACTTAATTAATATCACAGATCTTGTACATTTCAACCGCACAAATTACGTAGACATTAAAATGGAAACTATTTCGACGAAAGTAGGCACTAACAGAATACAACGGACAATGTTTAACCATATAAGAATTTAACCTCACAGTTGCTCAGTACAAATGTACAATAGAGTATAGTGAATACACATGCACACTTTACAACAAGTATTAAATTATAAAGAAAATAAATAATTAGGAAATATGAAAGTGATAAAAGGTGATAACATTTTCTTAATTTATCAATAAAAATTAAAATAAAGGTAAAAAGATTAATATTTGGAATTACTATTTTCTGTGAAAAAATATATGAAAGGATATATTTAAAAAGTGTAAAAGACAACAAAAATGAGGTAGAGATATAGTTGGTTTAACTGATATTTAAGTACAGTAGATACCCTATTCCATATGTTGTATTGTTTCTCATATTGTTATGGCCAAGATTTGAGAAGTGGATAAGGTTATCTATCTTCAAGTCACGTGTGACCTCACGAATGAATTTCCAAATCTGCTGAAGTGAATGTAGCTGTCCACGTGGACACATGAGGTCCTTGTAACAGATCAAAAACATAAACAGCTATGCCCCCATTGGCCACCTGACACTACTGCATTACTGATACAGGAAAATCACAGAAAGAAAGTTAGAAGTGAAGATGGCTTCTCTGGCAACCTTAGCTGCTGTTCAACCTGCTGCAGTCAATGGCCTTGCTGGAAGTTCCCTCACTGGAACTAAGCTCTCTTTCAAGCCCTCTCGCCACAGTTTCAAATCCAAGAATTTCAGGTTCCATGCATTTACAAAGATTGTGATTTGATTATACATGAATATCAATCAATTCCATCATAAGGTTAATTGGCTTATTTTCCTCCTTTTAGAAGAAAAAAAGAAGGAAAGTTCCCTTATAAGTTATACATAGTTGGCATGTCATGTGTGTTGCAATTGTATGCTAAAACAGTATAATTAAACATCATCACAGGAGTGGTGCTGTGGTAGCAAAGTATGGTGACAAAAGTGTGTACTTTGATTTGGAGGATATTGGTAACACTACAGGGCAGTGGGACTTGTATGGCTCAGATGCACCTTCACCCTACAACCCTCTTCAGGTTTGTCATGTGCAAATTCTTCATTGAGAATCAAACATGGAAAATTAAAGATAATTCAGGGACATGTATATAATTTCATTAGATAGATGTACAATTCATATATATTGCCTCATTGGTGGGTAAACAAATAGAATTCAACTCAAATGCACTTACACTATCCAATTACAAATCATGTATGTTACGTCTGTTTATCCTCTTTTATAACAATTATCATTCCAATTGGTCTACTATCAGACTATTCACATATGTTCAATCTTACAAATTTCATATCCGATATGTCTAGTTCTCGATGTAAAAAGTATGTTGGAGATTTTAAGTCAATTAAAAATAAGGTCAAAATATAATATATAAGTGAGAAATAGTCCTTATTTTACAATATGGTTTTGTAGGATAAAAATAGGTTCAAAATTTCAAACTCACATTCTTAAGATAGTATTAAAGTCAATTTTAGATATTGCTTTTGTACCTATCAAATTATTATTGCACCACTCGCATATGCTCGGTTATCAAACTTAGGAATTATAGTATTATACTCAAACAAATACTTTTCATACATCTGAAAAACTACATAGTTGTTTCATTGATGTGGATTTGCAGAGCAAATTCTTCGAGACATTTGCTGCCCCATTCACAAAGAGGGGATTGTTACTCAAGTTTCTGATATTAGGAGGAGGTTCTACCCTTGCATACTTCAGTGCAACAGCTTCAGGTGATATTCTACCAATCAAGAAGGGCCCACAACTTCCACCAAAGCTCGGTCCCCGTGGCAAGATCTAATTTGATTTGTATCAGAACTCCATCTACTGAATTCCTTTTTTATTTTTATTTTCTGGTTTGCATAATGTGTAAGTATGCTTACAAACTACTATTCAAAGATGCTTCTTTCCGGTCTAATTGAGTGGCATTGCTTTGGTTTTCAATTGAAGCAAAAAATATATTTGATTGGAATGTTGATCTTATATTGTTAATTTGGATTTGAGGTTTGGCTAACCACTAACCAGATAACTGTAACTCGCAAAGCTAGAGCCTATATTAGCTTATTACCTCTTCAACATGTATACTATTTTTGACAGTGACAGAACAAGGTTATTTACCTATCATATTACATCTTATGGATGTTTTTCCTGGTACTTGAGAATTATAAATGTTATTGGAATTTTTGAAAATAAAAGCGTGAGTCTAAACAAACTCCTTGTATTATATTGCTTTTCAAGTCCAACATATTAATAAATTTGCATTAAACAACTATTCATTTTAAAATAAAATGGCGCCTTCAACGGCTGATAACGTCAGATATAATAATATCAGTTACTAATAAAAGTGGAGTTAGGAATGGTTTTCACTATTAGGCCTAATCCTTCTTCCATCATTGGTCGAATACAGTTATCTAGTGTTTTAAGGTACGATGGCAGCGAAAGGCATGACATGTGAATTCATAAAATAACACATTTGGTGGCTGCCAGACAACAAATTCATACGTGAAAAAAGCTTTAAACACCGATGGTTTTGTAACTTTTGTATTAATTCCTTCATTCCTATGTACAAAAAAGAATAGATGATGGAAGAATAAATATTTATGCTTCAAACAACTCCGAGGACCACATGCTTCTCACCGATGCTTGTTTTTCTCTCTCTCCATCTAAGTGTTGGCATTTCAACCTTTGGCCTAATGGCGTGATGTTGGACTTCTCATACCCCCCAATGTCTCAAGGTAGGACGTCTTCTTGTCGGTCACTACGTTTGGAAGTTTTTGAGGCTTTGCATTATCAATGTCTTTGTATGAGTCATCTGAGTCTTTCTTGTCTGAGTCACCTGGATCATTGCTCCATCCCATGAAATCTGATAGTGTCATTGTTTCTGCGCCAACTTTTTCTGACTCTTCTTTAGGAGTTGGAGACTTATCTGGCTTGGGAATTGAGTTTCTCGAGACGCTCCTTCTTCCTTGTGGATTTTGAGCGACGGAATCTGCATGGAGTACATCATCTATTCTTGACAGCACTGTGAAGGCCAAACTTTCCAATATTCTTGAATAACTTTCAAGAACAGCTTGCCCCACATCCTGCAATGGTAAGTGATCCTTAGTTATGTTATAAAGAATAAGAGTTTGTAAAGATACAAACTATAAGCATTTTTTAGAGTTTCTTTACTGAAAATAAAGAATTTTTCAGTAGGAAAACTCTAAAAAAATATTTCTAAACTTATATTCAATCAGACTCTAAAACCTTTTCAACTTTGTTAAATAGTCATGCAACATTGCACTCAAAAGCATGCACATGCAGAATGAAACTGTGAAGTGGACAATGGACTTGCTCTCAAGTCTTACCCGGTTGAATTGGATTTTGCTTATATCCAATGCAGATTGGGGGATTCCTGGAAAACGATGCTTTAGGAGAAGTAGAATGGTTTCTGCCCTCTCTTCAAAGAGTTCTCTTTTCTCCATACTCACAGCAGAACCCCAAGATGATTTGCAATCTTTTTGGTTCATCTTCCGCCTCCAAATCACAATCGATGCCTCAATTCTGTCCTTGAGATCTACGATTTTGTGTTCTGATGACATGTCCATCGCTGCTAGGAGCTGATCAGGATCGAAAAATTCATCTGTAATGCTCCTGTAGATCAAGTCCCCTAGACTTGATCTTCCATTCTGAAAAAATAAAACAAAATTATAATATGTCTAAGATGTCAAAATGTTAACCATGATGACTATTAAGTTTTGAGCAAATACTAGGGTCCTCTTCTGATAAAATTCTCTGGAAGTACTTATAGGAAAGAAAAATATGAATGAAAGATGAAATAAATTTTTCTATAAACTAATTTTGCTTATGAAGAAGATGATTGCATTGTTCCTTTTTATTTTATTTCCCTATAAATAATTCTGGAAAAGTTTATCCAAATAGACTTGTAGTCCTTTTCACTTACCTTGGGCAGGGATTCAATATAGCTTTCTGGTATCTCCATTTCTGATAGAGTTTGAGCATTTATGGCCATAGCTGCTTTAAGCACTTGGTTCACACAATCTTTCTGATACTGAACAAACCTTCTTGCTCCGTCAGATAAACCATCAACGGGAACCTTAGGTGTAGGCAACCACCATTTGTCTTCATTTTTCCTATTTGAACTATCTGAATCATCTTGATCTCTCGATACATAATAGAACTCATTTTGGTCTTTGAAGTTATCTAGACAATCCTGCTCAGCATCAATATTTGCATCAGAACTAACAATCAATTGAAGCTGAAGCCTATGGAAAAACAATGATCATATTTAACTCATGAGACAATGAGGATGCAAGGATAGTGATCTTACAATAAGCATTGTGTCAAGCTTTCTTAAGGCTGGGATATTCATGTGGAGATCGGTTCGTTGTCTTGTTGTCATAACCTATTCAACCAAAGATTAAGTTCAATCATATATTCATATTACAGCTATTGTGATGGGAAGAATGAGAATGAGAAACAAAAGGAAGGAGAGAGGAAAGAGGGTTACCTCCATTGTTGAGCCATCCTTGTTCTTTTGTTGCACAGGAACCATTTCAACAATGTAATCGGTGACTGATAGAAGCCAATCGATTTCTTTTCTCCATCTTGCTTTCCTTTCTGGTGGCATTGGCTCTAGGCGCTTTTGTTCACCAAAAACAGCAGCTGCATTCTCAGTAAGAAAAGTATGAGAGAAACTGACAATGAATTATTTGAAACATTTCTGCTATCAACCTCTCCTGAAAATGGAAGGAACAGCACAATGTTTGCACATCATGATTGTAGCAGTGTAGAAAGAAGAATGCCATGATGATGATGTCTTAGTTGAAGGAGAAACAATGCAAGAGGCCAACATATATACCTGCAAGATTTGTGAATGCATTTGACAATGCCAAAGCTGAAGAAACACCCTTTCCTCCACCAGACATGTCCTCCCCCAATAAAAGTTTAGCAAATCTCTCCTTCATCTGTTCCATTTCTGAATTAAACCCAACCATAAATGAATATCATACACTAATCCAATGCAACACATTCACATAGGTTGAAATAAAAGGCATTGAATGAAAGAGCTTCAAAATAAATGGGCTGGTTCCTTCGCATGGAAATAATGTTAATAGTTATAACATTATATTTAAATTAATCATATAAAGTAAAGTAGGTTTGATTTGAATCTAATTAACATTAATGTTTACCTTGATTTATCTTATCTTTGACTTCTTTGGCTGCAATTTCCTCCTTGGTTACCTTTGGCTTAGGAGCCTTATCAAGATCATTTAGAGGCTTTGATCCTACACTTCTTGATGACACTGGATCTTCTTCCTCGGTAGGAGAAGGATCCAATGTGGTGGCACTCTCAACACTCAAACTTTTTGTGTGCCTCCCTGCATTCTCAAATATTCCTTTAAAATTGAATAGTTTGGACCTGTAACTCTCCTGTTCTTGTTCCATTGCTTTAACCATTTTCCCTCCCTTTTTCTTTAATGAATGTATATGTTAGCTAAGGGAAAATCTCAAGGGATGATGAAGAAGCAAGAACAAGACATGGGGTTTCCAGGTCCCTGAAGGAAGAGAGAAATAAGGAAAACTAAGTTCTTTGCATGTGGAAGGGAGGAAAATAGCAAGGGAGAAGCCAGAGTTACAAATGAAATGGGAGATGGTTTTTTTAGGAGAGTTTGACAAAAAGTTGGAGGTGAATATTTGATGGCTTTTATTTCCTTTTTTGAGGTGGGTTCATTGAACGTGGGGTGCATGTTGTTGAGATGGGTTTAAGAATTGGAAACAAAATTTTGCATTATTATTTTGATGATGAGAGAAATCTGTTTTGGCAAATTGGACGGTAAGGTTTTGATTTAAAGGTCAAAGTTTGCTGAAGACCAGGGAAGCAGACATGAAATCACTGGACGGTGCAGATAGCCTCACTTGAAGAATCAAGGAAGATATTTCAATCCCAGTCTAAAGTCTTCATAGTAATTTCCAAATTGTAGGTCTCAGCTTTTTCAGAGGATGCCACCTGCACAAATCATGAGTCTTTTAATAGATTTGATGACAATTATAGTGCCATAAATTATCCACCCTGTCATTACCCAAAGTTGGGACTGGGAGTACGGGATTCCAAAACTTGTCAAACATCAATTATGCAATCAAATAGTCCATTACTTAACTCTTGAACAAAAAAAAAATAAAAATAGCATATGACTACTTCCTTGTGAAATACTCAACATTTATTTCATATTACGTTAAAATATTCTTATTATTTTCATTGTATTATTTTGATTTTATGTTATTTGTGTTGTTATTAATTGTATTTTCATATTTTTCTCTCACATCTACTTTAATTTCTTTTTTTTAAAAATAAAATAGGTTTAAATAACTTTTTAGCCCAAGTAATATAAGGAGTTTTTTATTTTATTATTTTTTAAAAAAATCATTTTTGTCATTATAATTTTTCTTTTCTTCACTTCCGTCTTTATCGTTAAATTCATCATTAAATCTAATAGAGGAAAACAAAATATTTATAGGAACCAAAATAGAAAAATCAAAACATTATAAATACCCAAATTTAAGAAGACCAAAATGAAAACAACAAAAATTTGAAAGGATAAAAATAAAAATAACTAAGATTAAAAGGGTTAAAACGAAAATAATCTTATTTTACAAGGACTATATATACATTTGAGTTGATTTTATAAACTTTAAACCTTTAAATTCAATAAATGCACTAATACAAAATAAATTAAATAACTGTCATAACAAATGCATTAGTAATAAGGTTATAAATGGGTTGGGTCAAGTTTAAACTATTTTAGTATCTAATCCAATTAAATTTAATCAACTTGAGTTAGGTCAGGTTTGTAGCCTTTTTTTTAAGTGACTGAATTCACCACCCTGACTATCATTGATTAGTTCAAGTTGGGTCATTGGGTTGAATAATTAAAAAAAAATATATTTAAGAAATTAAAGCAAATAAAAAATACTTAACCCAAATTCTAATATATAATTCAATGTATAAACAACATTACAACAATTATACATGAGAAATTGAAAATATCTCAAACAAGCAAACATTATGTTATACTAATAAATTTTGAATTACATAACAAGTAGAATTAAATTATTCTTCTCACTCTTTACCTTCTTCGATATAACCAATCAACTCATTACTGCAATATTTGATAATAAAAAAAAGGTTGAATTATATATATGTATAGAAGTGTATTATATATTGTGTTATATGTAGTATTTTTAATTTAATAATTTATTACGTATCAAATTATGTTAGGTTCAAGAACGGATTCACATAAATAATAGTGGGGTAAATGCCCCACTAGCATTTTTGATATTTAGTTTTTTTTTTCATATTTATTCATATTATAAATTTATAATAATGGTCTCATACTTATCAAGTTAAAAATTAAGTGATTCCACTCTTTTCTTTATTTTTATTTTGTAAAAAAAATTCAAAGTTAATATATTATTTTAGAAGTACTTTTTTATACGGTATATATAATAATTTTCTATCTCATAATAAATACCGTATTTAAAAAAATGTTCTAAAATAAATGTCATATCAACATTTCAATGAAATATTAATTATCTTTTTTCATTTATATTCTTCATAATAATTTTTAGAAAGTAGATATTGTATTGCATTTTTTATAACAAAGAAAATTAATCACAATATTTCTTCATTCATGATCTATGTAAAATTGTAACGCCCCAAGATTTTTATTTATTTATAATTGATTGGGCTGATTTTTATAAATGTATTATATATATATATAGAGAGAGAAATATATGATTTTATATTAATTATTTTATTTTATTATTGAGAGAAGGAAAAATAAGTCACATTTAACTTGTTTTACTAAAGGGTTAATATGGTGGGTTAAGTTTTAAGAGGGGGAGTTGGGTCAATTTTCATTTTTATGCTCACATAATTTATTTTCTTGTACACTTGCACTCTAAAGAATTGGAAGAATCAAAGCTTATGGAAAATCATCTCAGAGATCCACGCCCTTCTATTAGTGTTTACCAAGGTAAAGGCGAGCGAGTAATCTTGTTCTGGATGTGGGATAATTGTTGGGTAATGAGATTGGTCTCCTAATCTCTTCTCTATTGTATGCATTGTATGAGGAGGAAATCCCAATTTGTGACTTGTGATATATTTTTGTTTTCTATATGATTCTTCAATGCTTTATTGAATGTCTTGAGTATATGTATGGTTAATTTCTCACATTAAACTAATCTTGTGAATCTTGGATTGCACAAGAGTTTGTGTGAAAACCTTAAGGAAATGCATTTTTGGTGATTGTATGAGTAGATAATATGAGTGTGCAAATATGTGTAATTTGTGCCTATTAGAACTGTATTCTTGATATTTTGAAGTGTTTTACTGATTGGATTCATGAATTCGTATCTTGTACATGTGTTGTGAAATTTGCATTTTCTGCATAATGTTGGTTTCTGATACGACATCAGGCGTCATTGTGTTCGAGAGCAAGGGTTTCTCTTTATGCTACTCACGTCGGGCGTGGGTTGATCCTTGTCGGGCATGGGAACTCCTTGTGGTGATTTCGCTGGACGTGAGATGAATCACGTCGGACACGAGTCATCCAAAGAGCTACATGTGCTCTCTAGGTGTGCCATGTCGAGCACGAGATGGCTATCGTCAAGCAACATCTCGATTTTGATACTTCTTCATTTTGTTAGCTAATAATTATTGACTTAAATGATTCTTGTACTAGTGATTGAATACAACTTAGTATGATGATTAGAGTATGAAATTATAATATTGTGATGGATGAGTGTGGCAAATGGATTGATGTTGAAAAATCATTTTGAGCATGAATAGTGACAACATGATATTGCATTGAATTAATCTTGTGTGACATGTATCATATGCACACAAATTAATACATACATACATACATGCATATATATATATATATATATATATATATTATTTGACTGACGCTACATGTATATGCAAATTGTGGTCTGTGCCTATTGCATCTCATGTATGAACAATGACGGATCCATAAAATTTGTTAAGTGGAGGCAATAAAATATTCTGTATCATTTTTACAAAAAAATTAATAATTTTAAAAAAATATATTTTTAAGGTAAAAATTTAAAATATCTTATTTTAATAAATTAAATTTTCTTATAAATAGAGTGATAAATTTTTTTATCTGATATTATATTTAACTATCACTTTATAATTTTTTGTGAATTATTTAATATTAGAGGAATAAAATGGTAAAAATTAGTAGGATAAAAATAATAACATTATCAATTTATTTTCTTTAAGTATTTTCTAAATTTCTACACTCATTTAAAATAGAAATATTTTTAAGTAAAATGTCTACTTTTTTTTTTATAAGAGTAAAAAAAAAACTGCGTGACAATTACTCTCATTCCTCTTAATATAAATCATCTCCTACCAACACAATATACATATATATGATCAAAGGGTTAAAAAATAAAATAAAAATTAAAAAATAACCTACATTAATAAACCAAATCATGACACCTTTAATGAGTAAAGAAGTAATAAATCTTTTAATAAAAAATACTATATATTATAATAACAAAAAAAATAAGAAGGGATTGATAGATTTACTATACTAAATAATTCATATTCTACATCAAGTATTTATCCGATCAATTAAAATTCTTTAATGTATAGATTAAATTTATAAATTTTAAAAAAAATTAAAAATTATTTAATACTTCATTTCATTAATTTAAATTGATCAAGAATTATAAAAAAATATTTTACATGTTATGTTTAATCTATCTAATGAAGAATCTTATGATTTTTAATTTTTTGGTTAAATACCTCTTTTGGCCCCTCATAACATCTTTTTGTTTCAATTTAGTCCCACTTTAATTTTTTGTCTCAATTTGATCTCCAATAATTTAAATTAGTACAATTTGAGACTTCCGTCCAAATGATTTAGACGGAGTTAACTGTTGGCCACATGGCATCTACGTGGATGCCACGTGAACGCCAAAATTTTTGGAAAACCCTAAAAGCAGAACGGCCCGTTCTGGATGCACTCTTAGTGTGTTAATTTTACATCCGGAACGGCCCGTTCCAGGTGTAAAATTAACATACTAAGAGTGCAATTAGAACGGGTTGTTCTGGTTTCAGAACGGGTCGTTCTGGTTCCAGAATACCATACACAAATGGTCACTGATCATAGTTTACGGTTGTGAAATCCTGAAAGAAAAAAGACCCAAGGTACAAAGAATTTCAAACACTAAATTTGGTAATATTGTAAATAAAAATTGATAACTTCAATTGCTAAACAGTTGGACTATACAGTGTATCATTAAGGACAATGCAGTGTATCATTAAAGACGATGGTAACAGATTTTATTTCATTGTTAGTCAAACTGGAGTGAACCACTTACTACCAAATTGATACTATACACTCAAGGATGAAACAAAACAATGTTTCCCTTGAAGTTATTAACGATGTACCCCAACAATAACAACATGTT